GGCCACTGCACTCCAGTCTGGGTGACAGAGTGAGACTCTAACTCAAAAAATAAAAAAAATAAAAAAAACAAAAATAAATAAATAAGAAATCAAGTAAGAAAACAATTCTAATGAAGGCCAAGACCAACATTTGAAAAACAAAATAATTGCTACCTTGTTGTCGTAGTCAAGCTGCTGTAAGAAAATAGCCTATACTGTATTATAAACAACAGAAATTTATTTCTCACAATTCTGGAGGCTGGGACATCCAAGATCAAGGTACTGACAGATTTGTTGGTAAGGGTTTGCTTTCTGCTTCATAGACGATACCTTCTATGACGACACCTCATGTGGCAGAAGGGGCAAACAGGCTCCCTCAGGTCTTATTTATAAACCACTAATCCCATTCATGAGAACCTCATGACCTAATCATTTCCTAAAGGCTCTACCTATTAATACTACAGATGCTCTTGTACTTATGATAGGGTTAAATATCATAAATCAAAAGTGCACTTAATACACATAACCTATGAAACGTCATTACTTAGCCTAGCCAACCTGAAACATGTTCAAAACAGTTACTTTAGCCTACAGTTGGACAAAATCATCTAACACAAGCCACTTTATAATAGATCATTGAATATCTCATATAATTTATTGAATACTGTATTAAAAGTGAAAAACAAAATGGTTGAGTACTCAAAGTATTGTTTTCATTTAATGTGAATCATTTTCATACCATTGTAAAGTCAAAAACGGTAAGTCAAATCTTTGTAACTTGGGGACTCTCTATACCGGATTGGGGGAGTAGTTCTCAATATATAAATTTAGGTGGGCACTAATGTTTACATCATAGCACTTGTCAGTTTTATGGTGGTATAAATTAGCTTTTGTCTAAGAATATGAATCATTTATTAGTGTAGTGTAAAGTCTGTAGATTAGCATCCAATAGAACTTCTGGAAAATGGGAATATTCTAAATGCACCATGCAGAACAGTAGCCACTAGCCACATATGTCTATTAAGCACCTGAAATGTGCCTTCTGCTACTGAGAAACTATATTTTAAATTGTATTTACTTTTAATTATTTTAATTTTAAATAGCCACATATGGCTAGTGACTACTTAAAAGACAGCATGATGATAGACATTCAAGTAGATTCCAAAGCATTTAGCTTTCTTTTAACCAATAGTAAGTAAAGAGTACTGATTACCACCAATATGTGAACCTATCATCTTATATCTCACTTATAACATTTTCCCAAGAAAAACTATAATATTCATTTGCCTGATGAAAGTAAATCATAATTTTTACTGTATTATATTTAGATCAACCTATTTCATAAAACTGTATTATATTTAAATCAACCCATTTCATAAAACCTTGAACATAAGTCTATGACTTTTAAAATAGTAATACTGCTTGGTAATATTTATTTGTCTCTCACAACTAAAACCAAGTTGTATACATTTTTCTTTATTATATTATATCAGCTATCTTAGAAAGCAAACAACAATACTTTTTTTTTTCTTGTTCAAACCATGAAAACCTTTTGCTAACCAAGAGCACTGAGCACTCATTGTTCTGGGGCAGTTGAAGGGCAGTAGTAATTTTTTAAATACAGAATTTCAATTTGTTATGCTATGTTTTCAAAGGAACATTCAGCCTTTTAATCAAAACTCATTTTTTCCCCTGTACATTTGTAATTTATACTAAGAAAATATGGCTCTCCTTATTTTCCCTAGGGAGTGATATATTTGACAAGTTTATGTCTAAGTAGATGGACTTATGTAACAATAAAAATAAATTAATAAAAAGAGACTGAACAAAACAAGGAACAAAAACCTGTATCCCAACTTGGTTTTTCTAACAGTCAATGTTATATATTTAGATGTAGATGTGGGATCAAAAGTTAGAAATTGCCCACAGAAAATGGAAAAGAGACTGCTACTAATAAGTTTGAAAAGAGCAGAACCAAGAAGACGATATGCTTTTGAGCATGATAACTCTGTCCAATTTTTTTTTTCTGTAAAGTATGTTTTAAAATGAGTGTTTTCATTAAGCAGTGAGCCATTGTGCTTATGCTTTTAAGCATAGTGGATTAAAAATCATAATTCATATAGATACCTTGGTAATTTTTTCTTTATTTTTGACCAGTGTCTGGCAGTTGTCATCTTTATCAGCCATATTGTGAGGGAAAACAGTGACTCATAAGCATCAATTATACCATTTTCTTGTTGTGTGTATTTTTAGCATTTTCTTTAGTTTTTATTTCTTTCTGGGATTATTCTTAAGCCAGTTGTCCATTTTGTAAGAATTAGTTTTGTTTAAAACTAGATTATTTAATCTATAGATTTATTTAACTAGGTACCTTGTAGCTCAAGATATGATAGTACCAGAGTCAATCAAAAATCTGTTCTTCTTTTCAGTAAAAATAAATAGAAATAGGAATTCTATTGCTGCATCCAAAACACTTTAGAGACTATTATTCTAGATATATATGTATATATTTGTACTGATAAATTATTTATAATATATTTTAAAATTATTCATAATATATATGGTATATAATATAGTATCTGTAATAATAAAACTTTATCACTCAATGGTAAAACTTTATGTGTATCTTTTATTGAGAAATTGAAATTTAATTTTCCATATTTGAAACTTCCCAGTAGTTTTCAATTTGTATATATCTAAAAATTTAATTTTATTCATCTGTTGAGGAATGCAGTTTGTGAACTACTAATTTTGATTATTCCATGTCTTTTTTTTAATATAAATCAATACTTTTTATTTTGATATTGTGGGGTACAGTTAAGGGTTAGGTATACAAATATGCTTCGTTCAGGCACCCTTGTTGATACAGGGTGTCTCCCCGTTATTCCATGTCCTCTTTAACATTATTTTACCTATCAAAAACTAAATATTTTTAGGTCAGGCATGGTGGTTCAGACCTATAATCCTAGCACTTTTGGAAGGTCAAGACGGGAGGATTACTTGAGCCCAGCGGTTCGAGACCAGTCTGGGCAACAAAGTGAGACCCTGTCTCTATAAAATACAGAAAAATTAACCAGGCATGGTTGTGTGTGCCTGTATCCCGACCACTCAAGAGGCTAAGGTAGAATGATTGCCTGAGCCCAGGAGGGTGGAGGCTTGCAGTAAGCTGTGATTGTGCCACTGAACTCCAGCCTGAGCAACAGAGTGAGATCCCAACTCAAAAAAATAAAAAATAAAAAAAATAAAGGCCTTAGCACTTTGGGAGGCTAAGATGAGTGGATTGCTAGAGCCCGCGGGTTTGAGACCAGCCTGGGCAACTTGGCGAGACCTCATCTCTACAATAAATAAAAAATTAGCCGAGCATGGTAGTGCTCACCTGTAGTTCTGGCTACTTGGAAGGCTGAGGTGGAAAGATCTCTGGAACCCCGCAGGTCGATGCTGGGGTGGCCATGAGTATGCCACTGCACTCTAGCCTGGGTGACTCCAAAAAAAAAAAAAAGAAAATTTTTATATCTGTGTATATGTTTCTTTCTGAAGTCTATATTAATTTCTTCTTTCATAAATTGGTCTTTAGGAGGTATTAAATTTTTATCAATATCTTTACTAATCTCTTAGAATTTTATTAATATAGATTAAAATTTTTATTTGTAAGCAGTTGCAGGTAAGATTAACCGATCTTTTAAAAATATGAAATAGTTGAGCAAAAGAAAGATGACTTAATTATTGTACTTATTTATGCTTTAATTTATGTACTTATGTTTTAATTAATTTTGAAATGAATTTGCATTTTCTTTGAGAAATGTTTATCTTAATCCATAACAAATACTTTTTGTAACTGTTTTTAATACTAAGTCATATTTTCAAGTGACATAGTGTCTTTATTTGCCTTCCAGGATCCTGTCAGGCTTTGCAATGAATAATAAGCAAATAATTTTTAAAATATGTGTTGAATTTTTTGTTAAAAGATTTTGTAATTTTGGTAGCTTTAAACTGTGTGGTTGTGCAGTGTATTTTTTTCTTTTTCAGGGATTATTACATAATAAGTATCATAACCAAAATTAATTTGATATTATTTTTGTAGGCAACGAGTTGTTCTCTTGTGCCTTTTGGCAGTTTTGGTGGTATGGTTCGTATCATGAGACTGAAACCATTTTAACAATATTTTCTGATGAATTTTTTTATTAACTGAAGTGACATGCAGTCTCACTAACTTTCATAATGACTTTTTAATATTTGTACTAAAAACCTCTGTTTTATGTATTAAATTTCTCATAGAATGTTTAGGCATGCATTTCCTGAAGTAAGTCATAGTAACATATGTAAAAATCAGTCTTCAAAAATAAAAAGTAGATTTTAATAGATTAATATTTGCTTGATTTATAAAAGGAATCTTCAAAGTTGGGGACTTCCAAATGCTTATGACTTTCCAAAGGGTTAAAAAAAGAAAAAAAAAAGTACAAAACTATAGATAGATAAGCACGACATTTGGAAAAGCATAGATTGGCTTCTTTCTGTAGGACTTTGTTGCCTTACTTGTCCATACGGCTTTTCCTTGCCCATACATGAGAATGGCTACTCTGCAACCAGCATTTCTCCCACCCCTGTTTCTTTGGGTTTTGGTACTGTTTCTGTGATGCTAGTTTCCAACACACCAAAAGCATTCTGAAGAGTATCAGAGAATAGCATGAATTTGGAATATTTGTGTCTACATTCTCATGAAAAGTTTTTTAAAAGTTATCTTATGCTATAGTTGAACCATTTGTTTCCTAAAGTTTGACATATAGATATAATATTTGTCCCTTCTGACCAGAATTTTTGGTGGGACAAATAACAAAAAAAAAGCAGCTATAACATACAATTATCAGTAAAATGATTAGGAATTTCAGCATGCTGTGGGAACACAGATAGGGAAAAAAAAAACCACAAAAACCATGAAACACTCAACCCAGACCTATTGGTTGGAGGTCAATCCTGGAAGACTTACTGAACTTTAAGGATTAGTTGGAGTTAGCCAGAAAAGCAGGGAGAGGAAAGGAAGAGTGTTCAACAGAGAAAACAGCAAGTGGAGGCTAGGGAGCTAAAATACGTTTAATAGCACTTAGGCCTCAAGTATGAGTTGAACAGTAGATATATTTTAAAATTTTTTTCTTTTTACCTAATCTGTGGAATTTTGTTATGAACAGTAGATATTGATAAGGATGAAAAGGTAACTACAGACTTCTGTAAGCCATAGTAAGAAGTGTGAACATTATCTTAGGAGCAGAGGAAGCAGTTGATAAACTTTATCAAAGTGGTAATAGAATCAGATTCTTAAGAGACCACAGTGGTGAAGGCAGGGAAGCCAGGAGGCTATTGAAGCGTTCTAGGTAAAGTATTAGTGGTAGCTTGCTTCTACTTGATAATGGCTGTGATGATGAAAATACATTATTTCACTTGAGAGAGAGAGTTTTAAAAGTGAATGGATAGGACTTGGTGATGGATGGGGTTGAAGGAGCAATAGAAAAGATAAGAGAAGTACCATACCCATTTTTCTGGCATGAAGAATTAACTGAGCTAAGGCACTGATTCAGGACAGATATGAGGGTAGTAGTGGTCAAAACAATCATTTAGTTTTGGGTGTATACATTTGAGGCATCTGTAGGTTGTTCAGGTAGATTTCTTTGGTAAACAGTTGGATATATGAATTTGAACTGAGCTAGAGATAATTTGTAAATTCATTCAGCAAATATTTTTTGAGTTCTCCTATGTGCCAGGAATTGTAAGTGTTGGGGATATAGTAGTAAATAAAAGAGAAGATAGCCCTGTTCTCACAGATACTATTTTTATAAAGTGAGAAGACAGACAATAAACAACAAAATAATTGCAGATAGCCACAGTACTATGAAGGAATGAAATAGGGCAACAGTAGGAGGAATTAGACAGATGACCAGCAGCAGCTTTGCTCAGAAGGTGATACTTGAATGATGAGAAGGACTATGCTACAAGTCAGGAGAAGACAGTCAAGGCAGAAAGAGGAGCATGTGTACAAAATTTTTCAAGGCCTGAAGTGTCCACTGGAGTCTCAACTCCAATTTGTACTCCCACTTTTTATCACACTGGGGTGTTGGGCTACCCCAGAGCAATCTTTTGATGGTTGATTTGATTGTGAATTGAGAAGAGGGCAGAATATACTCAAATCTTTCCCTCCCTCTCCTTTTCTCCTTTGTGCTAACCCTTCTATCTCTCATGAATTATATCTCTGATACAGGCCCTGATTCTCAAGCTAGTGTTCGACAAAATATTCAGAATATTTCCAGATTAATTCAGCTTCACTCCTTTTTGTACCCAGAGATATGTCAGTATTTCCTAAATAAGCTTTTGTTGCTCCCTACTACATTAAGTGCAAGTTCAAAGGAGGGATCTGGTTTTCCTGCCTATTTTTCATTTTTGTTGTCAATTAAAAGACAGACATAACAGACAAGCCCTTGATAATTCTTTATTGAGGCTCAACTTGGCAAATAGCTAAGGAATATCCAGGGGAACTGAAATACCAGCACTGAACCACAGTGCCTTGGAAATCCTCTTGCTTGAGCAGAGAAGTTCCTTGAGCCAAATAATTCCCTCTGTTTTATGATTTAGAGAATTCACTGGGTGACACACTAGAATGTATGCTTTACTTTTTTTTTCCGGTGAGTGTTACAGTGATAAAATCTAAAATCAATAGTAGATTTTTCTAGAGCAAGGTTTCTCAACCTCAGCATTACTGACATTTTTGGCTGGATAATTCTTTGTTTTGCAGGACTGTTCTGTGCATTGTAGGATGTTAAACAGCATTCCTGACCTCCACCCACTAGGTGCTAGTCATATACCCTTCTCATCTTTGAAAATGAGTATAGTTATTGCCAAATGTTCCCTAAAGGTCAAAATCAATCTTTGTTGAGAAACCACTGTTCTAAAGAAATTCTTAACTGTTCTTCTGAAGAAGCATACCTCATGCTTCAAGAGTATAAGCCTCCTGATCCTACAATAAGCATCAAATTGAAGGCCTATTAGTAAAGTAGATTGACTTCTATCACCTGGACCATACTATGATGAAAGGAGGCCTGGTTACTCAAGGGGCAACTTCTGTCAAACATGTGGTGCTGGTGAAAGTGACACTGGCATCTTGTACCCAAATTGTATTCATTTGTATGATAGGATATTCAAAATAAGAAGGGAAGTTATGAAAACTATCCTAAGCTAGAGCTGTTCCAGCCCAGAATGTATCACTGACATTATACTGATTGATATTGAATCACTCAGTATTTAATATCAATTAGATTATGTTTGAGAAAGCTAATGAATGATATATGTGTGTATGTGTATTTATATATACATGCATGTATATGTGTATATATGTATTTATGGTGTTACAATTCCCTAATCATTTTTATGTTGACTGTTTGGGATTTTGTATATGCTTCCATTTTCTTTTTAACAAATCACTTTCATTGTATGATCCTTAAATTATCTTTGCCTTTTTTGTTACTACATGAGATCCCACTAAATGAAACAAAAAGTTTTTTTCAGCTGTTTTGAGAAGATTGATTTGCTTCTTTTGTGTTATATTTTTTATATTCAATAATATGCTTCCTAATATTCTGTAGCGTACAGGTGTCAACCCTTTTCAGGCAGTGGACCGAATGATGTTAAATATGCAAAATGGCATACAAGAATTACAAAGAAACTTTGTAAGTATTAAAAATAAAGTGTTGAGAAAATTGCTTAAGAGTTATTGGTCTACCCTGTATTACAGTGTATTACACAGTCCACAGTGGCTAAAAATATATCTTACATGATTAATTCAATATGTAATACTCTATACTTTATGAATATACCTCAAACAAAGGTTTTACAAAAAAACATGATCATACAGTCTGTGCTGTTATTTTCTATTTTATTTCATGTCTTAAAAACCCTGGTTACAACTCACTAAATTGATTTCATAACCTACAAGTTTGAAAAGTAATGTTTAACTTTCAAAATTAAAAAAGTTTAACCTCAGCCGGGCTCGGTGGCTCAGCCTGTAATCCCACGCCTTTGGGAGGCTGAGATGAGTGGATTGCCTGAAACCGCGGGTTTGAGACCCGCCTGGTCAGCGAGACCTCATCTCTACAATAAATCAAAAAATCAGCCAGGCGTGGTAGTGCACGCCTGTAATTCCGGCTACTCGGAAGGCTGAGGTGGAAGGATCGCTGGAGCCCAGCAGATTGAGGCTGCGGTGGCCGGGAGCGGCCACTGCACTCCCGTCTGGGCGACAGAGTGAGACTCCAACTCAAAAAATAAAATAAAATTAAAAAATAAAATAAAATAAAGTTTAACCTCAAAATATTTGTTCTACTGAAAGTCAATATTGTAAATGAATGTTTTATATGAATTGCATGATTTAAAATCTGTATATTTCAAAGGATTTGTAACATCTAGGGAATTTTAGTGTTAAGATGACAGAAATTTCAAGATTTTTAGGTACTAGATAAGATCCTTATAGTCCAAGTATTTATAAATTATTACTACAATAATACTCTTTTTTACTCATGTATTACATCAAAAACAATCACTGTATTCTATCTGAAGACCTATATAATTCTAGACATTCAGATTGAGTGATATGGATCATTTTAGAATGCCAAATCTAGGGCATTATTGATTTTAGTAATATAGCAATCTGGTACCAACAGAAGGAAGTATGAAACTTTGTGATATATGGCTAATTGACTCGATGATGGCAAGATTGCACACAAGGGTCAACTGCTGATTGTAAATATATCATAGCACAGCATCTTTATTGAAATTTAAGCCATAGATCCCAAAGACTTGAGGATCTCTGAATCACTTATTAGTCTTTGCAAGGAAAATGGAAATTGTAGCTAGAATGGAAAGAGGTTAGGACCTCCCTGGGTGTACCATTTATATTTTTGTTTCTCTTTGTAATTTTTCAAACCTGATAACCTGGGAATATCATTTGGATATACCATATGGGTAGTTTGGTGTCTTTGGTAGAACTTATAGCTAGTGTTGTTACTTATTTGAAATCTCTGGCATTAATATTTGTATTTGACTAGGCTCTTAATTTACAATTTCTCTTTACCTGTAGGGTCACCTTTCAATGGATCCAAATGGACATTCATTTTGTTCTTCCTCAGTTATGACTTATTCCAAAGTGGGAAATGAACCACCAAAGGTTTTCCAGGCCTCAACTCAAACACGTAGAGCTCCAGGAGGAGTAAGTATTTTCTAAGTATTCTTAGAGCTTCATAAAGTTGTACCATGATAGACTGTCCATATCAAATTTAAACTGTTAAAATTTGGTCTGGAACAAGATGGTGGCGAGAGGGGAGGGAAGCATGGGAGTGGGAAGTAAGCCAGTCCTCACTGTGAAAGTTGTTGAAGTTCAACTGTATTTATTTAATTTATGGCAATTTCCCCCCATGAGGATGCCTTTTTTCTTGTAAATATTGATTGATGTCTATTAACTTTACATATTGATAAGGTAAATAAACATTAAAAGAAGCCTTGGTTTCATGAACTTTTTATATTTGAAGTAAACTAATTTTTTAACTAATGAAATATTTCAAGTGTACAGAAAGGATATGGAAGATAATACAATAAATACCCATATTCCTGATACCAAGTTTAGTCAAATGATAACAGTTTTCTCTATTTGCTTGTTTTGTTTTCTTTTTAAACGAAAATGTTAAAGATGTAGTTAAAGTTTGTAATACATTCTTCTGAGGTCCCCTTTCTCCCTCCCCTAGAGATAACTATTTTCCTATATCTGGAGTTTATCATTTTTGCATGTTTTTACAATTTTATTACTTTAATATCATAAAAAATATAATGAATTATTTTGCAGGCTTCTAAACTGTATATAAATGGTATCATATTGCATGTGTTCTCTGTAACTTGTCTATGCTCAATAATATGCTTCGGAGGTTTATTCAAGTTGATAACGTGTGGCTCTGGTTTCCTTAGCTTCTATATGGTATTCAAAATATGAATATACCACTATTTTTTTTTCATTGTCCGTTAATAGATTTGTAGCTGTGTCTACTTTTTGACTAATTCATTTGATACATGTCTCCTTGTACAAAGAGTCTAGTAATAATATTGCTGCATTGTAAGTTATATATACTTCATCTTTACCTAGAAATTACCAAGTTACTACCTCACAATGATTGAAACTATTGTCGTCCACAAATTATGGCATGAGAGTTTCCATTTCTCTACTTCCTTGTTAGTACTTATCATAAAAATTAAGGTTTACCAGTATAATGGGTGTGGAGTAATTCATTTTTTAGTTCTGCACATATAAAGATATACCTCTTAATGATGCTATTGCCATAGTTCTGCTAATTCATTTCAGATATTTTATTTGGTTTTTTGAGTTGGAGTCTCACCCTGTCGCCCAGACTGGAGTGCAGTGGCCGCTCCCGGCCACCGCAGCCTCGACCTGCTGGGCTCTGGCGATCCTTCCGCCTCAGCCTTCCAAGTAACTGGAACTATAGGCACGCGCTACCACGCCCGGCTAATTTTTGATTTATTGTAGAGATGAGGTCTTGCCAAGTTGCCCAGGTGGGTCTCAAACCCACGGGCTCAGGCAATCCACTCACCTCAGCCTCCCAAGGCACGGGATTACAGGCTGCGCCTCCGAGCCCGGCTCATTTCAGATATTTTAATTTTAACTTGTTAAAAGTGATAAAGTCTTAAATATAAACAGAATATAGTTGTAGGTGTCTCACACCAAATCATGTTAATAGTCTTTGGCTATCATAAATATTCTAGTAACATTTCCATAGAGTTGATATGTGGCAACTGTGAGATTCAAGCCCATCAATATTACTGATGAATAGTTGCCCTTATTTATAGGAATGCCAGTGTGAACTTCCTTTACATTGTCAAAGACAGTGTTGAAGGCACTAAGTTATATGTAATTGTTACTTTGTTTTAATATTGATTAAATTTTGGATAAAAGTTAAATTGTATTGATTCTATTTATCCTAGATATTTTCATTTTAAGCAGTTTAGGAAATATCAGAGTTATTACCACAATTTTACTGCAAGTTGATAGTGGATCTGAGTACACATTATTTTTAGAGCAATTCTAGATCTTTGTACCTCAGTAGATGAGCAGGCCCTGAGAAATTTAGGATTATATCCAATCTATATATTTAAATAATAATTAAGTATATATATTTTTTTATTTTTACAGATAAAGGAAACCAGGAAAGCAATGAGAGATTCTGTCAGTGGACTAGAAAAAATGGCTGTTGGTCATCATATCCATGACAGAGCTCATGTCATTAAAAAGTCAAAGAACAAGAAGACTGGGGATGAAGAGGTTAATCAAGAGTTCATCAATATGAATGAAAGTATGTTATCACAAAAAAGTTCCTATACAACCTGATTAATATTTTGTAGAAACATGTCATAAGATATAATTTTTGAATAATATGTGTAGAAAATGACTCACCAAAGTAATAAAATTGTTTCATCATTTCATAGTAGATTTTTTTAGAGTGATTTTTGGTCATGTGGGTTATCATTTATTTTTATTGTTTTATACCTTGAGAATAGAATCTTTTGAGTAATTGCTTAGTAATACTATCAATAGGCAAAATGGGGAGGAGTTGATTTTTATGTTTTGTATTTGAGTCAGGGTATGACTCTGTCATCCAGGCTGGAGTAGTGGCATCATCTTGCCTCACTACCGCCTCTACTTCCCAGGATCAGGTGGTCCTTTTGCCTCAGCCTCCCAAGTAGCTGAGACTGCAGGTGCACACCACCATGCCTAGCTAATTTTTTTGGATTTTTTTTGTAGGGACAAAGTCTTGCTATGTAGCCTAGGCTGGTCTTAAACTCCTAGCCTCAAGTAATCCTTTTGCTTCAGCCTCCCAAAGTGCTGGAATTGCAGGTGTGAGCCACTCACTGGGTACCGGGTACCGGCTGCAAAATGAGTTTTTAAATGTTTTTTTCTGATTAACAAGGAAGTACATTTGAAAAGTATAAAGACAAAAATAAAAATCATTCATAATTCCAACTCAGAATAACTATTATTAATGTTTTAATGTGTTTCTTACAAATAGTTTTACGTATATATAAACGCATTTTTTGAGATTAGTATTTTACTATTTATGCAGTTTATATAGTGCTTATTTTAGTTTGCCTTTATAATTGTAAGCAGTCACCTATGATGTTATTTTTAAAAAACATTAAGTAGTTATCTGGAAGTTTCATTGTGGGTAGGTCATAACCTTTCTGTATTCTTGGGAACTTAGGTTTTTATATAGATAAGATTTTAGTTTGTGGTATATGTTAGATAATATATATAGATATCAAATAAATCTTTCCATTTTCTAGATTTTATATTCATTCTTCAATGCATTTAAACCCTTTTAGTGCCTTAACCCTTCTCAATGATAGTTTTTAATTATGTTAAAATTTATTAACAAATGTAATCAATAAATTCAAATTTATTAATTTTATTTAGTCAACATTAAGAATTAAACATGTTTTATTTATTAATTTTATTAATGTAATAATAAAATTATATTCAATTTAGTTATATTCCTCTGCTATTTTCACAAGCTATCTTAAATAATTTTGCTTGTTTTGTTTTGAGTTGGAGTCTCACTCCGTCGCCCAGCCTGGAGTGCCGTGGCACACTCGCGGCCACCCCAGTGTCGACCTGCTGGGCTCCAGAGATCCTTCAGCCTCAGCCTTCCAAGTAACCAGAACTACAGGTGCATTCTGCCACACCAGAATTTTACAAAAAGGAATTTTTTTTATTGTAGAGATGAGGTCTCTCCAAGTTGCCCAGGCTGGTCTTGAACCTGTGAGTTCAGGCAATCCACTCACCTTGGCCTCCCAAAGTGCTGGGATTACAGATTGAGCCACTGAGCCCAGCCTAAATAATGTTTTATCATAATAGTTTATATTATTGTATTATTTTAGAAAAATTAATTCTGTTAAGGTTGAAATTTGATAAAACGATCTTATACAATAAAATGGAGCCCACAATATCTTGACCTTTCTTAAACTTTGTAATTTTTTCATATTTATATATATACTTAATTCTTCACAATAATTGAAGAAACACATTATAAAGGCAGTCTAAAAGAACTAGTACTATCATCTATCGCTACTATTATGGAAGTGAGATTTCCTACTTCCTAACAATATGAAATGACAATCTAGCTGAGCAACTTGTCTTAAAAAGTTGACAACAGACAGTGTGATCAAGTTAGTAGGAAGATAGTGAGGTGAATAAAGTGGTAGTCACAGAAGTGTCCAAGTATACTGGAACAGCATGTTCACTGTGAGATTATTCGGGAAGAAAAACTAGAAGGCATTGTAATTGGGTCAACTGAATGGGTAGAATAATATGATAACTAGGCAGGTGAAAAACCAGATCACCATTAAAAATAGGAGAGGAACAAACAGGAAAGAGGAAGTATTGCCCCCTAGTCAAAGACCTTTGTAGCTTCTTGCTTCTATTTTGAGGTGAGACTGATAAAAACACCAGGCTAGAATAAAGTGTCTGGGGGAGCAAGGCATTACAGACAGTTGATATTTTAATACTTATTCCCTCCCTGGCACAGTGGCTCATGCCTATAATCCCAGCACTTTGGAAGTACAAGGTGAGAGGATTGCCCATGGCTTCGAGACCCACCAGGCAGCATGACGAGACCTCATCTCTACAAAAAATTTAAAAAATTAACTGAGCATGGTGGCACATGCCTGTAGTTCCAGCTGCTTGGAAGGCTGAGGCAGAAGAATCAACTGAGCCCAGTAGGTTGAGGCAGTGGCTGTGAGCATGCTACTGCACTCCAGCCTGGGCGACAGAGTGAGACTCCGACTCAAAAAAACCCCAAAAACTTTTTTCCCATTATTTTGTTATTTAATGTAGGTGATGCTCATGCTTTTGATGATGAGTGGCAAAATGAGATTTTGAAGTACAAACCAGGAGGACGGAGCAATCTAGAAAACACTAGAATGCGAAGTGTTGGTTATGAGAACTCAGGATCCCGAGAACGTAAAAAAAGGTAAAAGTTATTTCTAAAATAATTTGTGTTTTGAAGGATAGTTTAGAGAAAAGTTATGTTATTTTACTACTATCAGAAAGTTTTGATGAATATCCAAGTTGTATCCACAATATCTTTTGTGAAAGATGTAATAATTTTACGAGCCGGGCTCGGTGGCTCAGCCTGTGATCCCGCGCCTTTGGGAGGCTGAGGTGAGTTCATTGCCTGAGCCCGCGGGTTCGAGACCCGCCTGGGCAGCGAGACCTCATCTCTACAATAAATCAAAAAATCAGCCGGGCGTGGTAGCGCATGCCTGTAATTCCAGCTACTTGGAAGGCTGAGGCGGAAGGATCGCCGGAGCCCAGCAGGCGAGGTTGCGGTGGCCGGGAGCGGCCACTGCACTCCAGTCTGGGCAACAGATTGAGACTCCAACTCAAAATAATAATAATAATAATAATTTTACATGAAATCTGATTATTCCACATAAACTTTAATTTGTATCTAAAAGCCAACAATATTTTAGTTTTGTGTGGTTAGTAATTCACTAGCAAACTATGCTTCTGAAGGTAGAGGCCAAAATTCTTTTAAGGAAAAGTGCTGTACTATCCTGTAGTTATTTTTGTGAAACAGATTTTAATCTGGATATATAATCATACATTTCACAGCAGGCAAAGATATCTAGAAGTATGATAAGGAGAGAGAGGGTGTTTTTAGAAGACTTAACAACTTCCTTAACAAGTGAAAATTCAGCATTTATTAATAAATGAAGTTTTAGATATTTGTATAATAGGTGATACTATGTGAAATACCACATTTCATGTGTATTCAATATTTTGGAAGAATTTTACAAAAACTTTGGCTTCTCTTGTAATTCCCTTTTGAAATAGTTGTGAAAAATAAATGTGCTGAATTCACATATTAAAGATTATGGAGTTTTTATTATACGTTTAGTACACATTCTGGAGCTACAATTTAATTTGGTTCTCTGGGGAAAAAATTGAAAACAAAACCTAATTCCTATTGAAATTACACTCTAGAGAAAGAGAAGCTTTTCTAGGTCTTAAAATAGAAATCTGTTATAGGCTATAAGAGTGGAGGATTGCTGCAGAAGGTGGAAGGAAGGCTTAACAGAACTAGCAGTGGACAAGTGGGTATCAAGTAAATCTGAAACCTTGTGCAGGATTTCATGTGCTAGCATCTTTTAAAATACTTGTTTACAAATTTAGAGCCCTAATATTAGCTGTTTAATGACTTGAAAGCTTTCCCCCATATTGATTTTAAATATTTGTCTCACTTTGAAAAATGTATTGATTAAAGGCTTAATAGAACTAAATTTGAATATGAAGTTCACATCCCAGTTAGAGAAAAAACACTCTTTATGCATGATTCATAAATCTGTGGCCTTAATAATGGCATTTTTCTCTTAACCAACACTGTCCAATAGCATTTTCAGAAATAATTTTCTGCAATGATGAAAATGTTATATATCTGTCATGTCCAATATGGTAATCACTAACCACATGTGGGCTGTTGATTCACACTTGAAATGTGATTGGAAGCCAGGGTTCATGCCTGTAATTGCAGCACTTTGGGAGGCTGAGGCTAGAAGATTGCTTGAGCCCAGGAGTTCACCAACATAGGCAACATAGCAAGACCTCGACTCTACAAAACAAAAATCCAAACATTAACCAAGCACAGCGGTGCGTGCCTGTAGTCCAGATACACTCCAAAGGCTGAGGCAGAAGGATCACCTCAGCCCAGGAGCACAAGGTTATAGTGAGCCATGATTGTGCCAGGAGGCTGAGGCAGAAATATCACCTCAGCCCAGGAGCATGAGGCTGCAGTGAGCCATGATTGTGCCACTACACTCCTACACTCCTACACTCCAACCTGGGTGACAGAGTGAGATCCTGACTCAAAAGAAAAAAAAAAAGGAAAGAAGAAGAAAAGTGATTGGTAGAACTGAGGATCTAAATTATTTTAATTAATTTAATTATAAATGTGACTAGTGGCTACCATATTGAACAATATGGGTTAAACTGTTAAATCTATCTCAGGTAAGTAGTAGCTGTTGCTGCCTTGTTTTTCAGAGATATTAAGGAACTTTTAAGATAAAACTCATCTATGTTACAGTGGTTTTTAACATATTTGTATTGATTGATAAACCACTGACCATTTTAAAGACGGTATTAATGTTCCTATGTATATTTCTCAGGGAGAAACCTCACCAAAGTCCAGCCATTGAAGGTGGAAGAAGAGCAAACGTTTTTGTGGACAAACTCAACATCAAAGGCTCACCTGTGAAAAGCAACAGAAAATAAATAACCATGCATTTGATTTGTTTAGTTTTAGTTGTTTTAACAGAAAAAGTAATGGTGCTGGGTAATAACACATAAGACCAATATCTTGTTGCTAAATCAATACTGTACAACTTTCTTTTGATTCCTGAATTTTCATGGATGAGCTAGCTTTATATTGTCCCCCCTTCATTTTCAGATGTGTGAGTAAATTGTTAAGCATGCTATAAAACTCTTTAAACATATTAAATTTTAAAGCTCACATGCCAATTTTGCTTTCCCAATTATTTTTGTGTTGGCTGTGTATTATACTTATCAAGATTGATTGCAGAGCTAGTTCTATCATTTATAATGATAAGAAGTTAAAATGTTAAAAAATCATCTCAAGTTTCACTAACACTGTACTCGAGTGATGTTAAAGGTTTAATTTATCTCAAATCTTATGATATATTAGCCACCTAGCAGAAAGCTTTAAAAATAAAATAGCAAAGCTATACTAGTACTGTTTTATGAGGAATTCGTTATTATTTTGATAAAGGGAAATAATAACCAGTTTATTTTCAAAATAATATTTCAAATTGCAAATGTATATGAGTATTTTGTTATACTTTCTTTATACAGAGTATTCTTTTTTGTTCTCTGTTACATTCTTAACATTCATCAGACTTTATCTTGACCTTTTCTTTAACCTCTTAAAATGGTTTATTTCTCTTCTCCTTTTCTACAAACAGCTTAATCTGTCTCCAAAGTTAAGATTCTAAAGTTGGAGAGTCCTTGAGGAACTATTCAGCTTTTTTGTGACATTTAGAAAAATACACTTGGTATTCCACAAAACAGAATGATTGATTGTCTCAAAATTTGTTAGACAGCTGATGTGTGTTTTTGAGCAAGGTGTTTAATAAATTCAGTTGTTCCCATTTAAATTATACCATTTTTAAAAAAATCGCCTTAAGCTTTTTAGAAATTCAAACATTCTAGAATATAAGCATTATTCTGTTTTTATAAAAGTTACATTTGAAGTTTATAAGAATATAAAATCTTAATCTCTTGTTTAGGATATTTCTATGAAGAAAAAAAAACTCAGAAAATCCACTCTTACTTTATAATCCTAAGTATTTCCTTTTTAAGTTTAGAAGTAAAATTATGACTATGCTCACACTTCTCTAATTTTCTATATTTTTGTTAATTTTACTACTTTGTATTTATGCCATTAGTCACTAAAATAAGATGCAAACATGGTATTTCATTTTATAACTGAAATTAATTGAGTTTGTATTAAAATTTTCCTCTTATGTATACTTAGGTATACTACTAACATAACTCCATAACAAATTGGGAAATTGTCATAAAGCACAAATTTTAAATAACACCTTTGCATAAACTAACTTGATAGAGCAAAGTCTTAATAAAGTAAATACTTTAATTCTCCTTTTGTCTAAATCATTTATTACATAGATGATAATTTGAATTATTGTAGTCAAATCTGAAGCACACTTTAATAAGTATTTGTGCTTAGCAGTATAACTCCTATACATCATATAGCAGTTAGAGAATTCACAGATGGTTTCTCCATCTGTGGAAGGATGCTATGGAAATCAAATAAAAATTGAAATACAGATATATGCTATCATGCTTCTTTAGTGGATACTTATAAAATATTTGACATATAGATATTAGCCATTAGATGGTACACTGCATGTGTCCTGAACCATCTGTAATCTTTTCAGTGTTCCTTTTGGGGCCCTAAAAAAGGTACAACTATGGGAAGTTGTTATTAACGAGAGAGAAAGACAACAAAATCTGGTAGTCCAACACAAGCACACGTTTTCAAATAAGAGACTTAAGCCTTGCTAATAATTATAAGACTAAGATTTATTATGCCACAGGAGCATAATTATATTGCTTTTTTTACATTATTTTGACATTAGAAACTAATGTAAATTAATCTTTCTCTTTTCTAACTCTTTCCCTTTTTAACATGCACCCATTTTTGTCTAACATAAATCTTATACTAAATGTAAAATGTTTCATAAAAGCCATAAAAGTTACTACCTAATATGGTGGCTTTCACCTGTAATCCCAGCTAATTAGGATGCCAAGGTGGGAGGATTGTTTGAGTTCAGGAGTTCTAGGCTACAGTGAGCTATGATCACACCACTGCATCTAGCCTTGCCAACAGAATAAAACCTCATCTTTTTAAACATTTTTATTTATTTATTTTTTGAGTTGGAGTCTCACTCTGTCACCCAGACTGGAGTGCAGTGGCCGCTCCTGGCCATCGCAGCCTCGACCTGCTGGGCTCCGGCGATCCTTCCACCTCAGCATTCCAAGTAGCCAGAACTACAGGCACGCGCTACCACACTTGGCTAATTTTTTTTTTAATTTATTGTAGAGATGAGGTCTCACCAAGTTGCCTGGGCTGGTCCCAAACCTACGGGCTCAGGCAATCCACTCGCCTCGGTGCCCCAAAGTGCTGGGATTACAGGCTGAGCCACCAAGCCTGGCTAAGAAAAACCTCATCTTTAAAAAAATAATTTGAG